TTGGGGACTTCTAAGAACAAAATGGCGCATTTAATTTGAAGCACAGAGATCATTTTACCTCTCAATAACAGAAATTATTCTTGTTTATATATCAATATCTGTACTGTGATTTTTGAATGCACGAAGCATTATAAAAAAAAACACTATACTAATGACAAGATAACACTTTTAACGGTTTAAAACGTGTGCTACACTACTTAAAAAGTTTCATGAACCGAAATAAGACTGTGTCTGTTTCACTGATCTATTTTATTTAAAGGTAAGTAGTTAACCAGACTTCTGTGCCCTCTCTGCCCGACCGAAACAATCTATTGTTTCCCTTGGATACGAACCCAGAACCTCTCACTATACAACACGTTCAGCATTAAGCTACAGTACAGTGGTAACACTACATAACACGACGTAGTCGCTCCTTATTTCCAAACATTGATTTCTTGTATTACATATTAATAGTAACCATAATTATATTAATCGTAATATAATGTATGTTATAAAAAATAGCTAGTTTTTTTATGCGTGATGTTTATATATGTTTATAGCCTAAAGCCAACTTTTAGTAATTTTAATTCTAACCAGTAGATGAGATGATCCTGATCAAACAAATAAACTCTACAGCTTTATATATTAGTATAGATTATTGACCTCTCGCAGCCCACCCAAAGTATATTGGTGACCTATAACATGAAATTATGTCAACTTATAAGCTTGACGTCGTCAGAACAATGGAAGGCCCAGCCTGGATATGTTTACGAGAAATGGTAACACAATATGGCGAGTGGATAATAGTCACGTGGCACGGTGTAATGGCTGTTCATTGTACGAAAGGAAGGCGTCTGTAAACATCAAGTAAGCCTTTAGCTTTTAAACAAGTGTATCAATTAACACTTTAGGCTCCGGTTACCTATAATCGCCGAATGACGCGTATAGCTTCGGCGTCATATGCGGCTAGAGGCAGAGTAGCCTAACTGCAATTTTATGACTTGAGTTATATATACTTTATAGTCTAAAAATGTTACAAGAGCATAGTGACCGAAAATTGTTAACTTAATTTTTACACAAATTCATTTTCGCCTAAGTTCATTGCGCATTTGAATTTTCCTCCTATTTTCCTTTAAACATTTAACAATCCTTACGTGTTGGGCTAACTATTCGGTCTTAAGAGTACGTGTTATAAAGCACAGAAACTTATGTATGTTGTTTATGTATGTTGATTGAGAACTGAATACTCGACTTGACTTGATTCTTGACGACCACAACGCACGTTCATAGATCATCACGATTTACTGATCATTGCAGATTTAAAGTCAAAATTACATATAGGATCTAAGAGTAAACTGGTCGTGGTCTATAGCGTTTATCAGAGACCGTATCTTTTCGCTTCATTCGTGGTATTGAAAGGGTAAACTAAAGGATTTGATGTCGTGGGCGATGGTTGTTAAATATCAAACATTCTACAATATTTTAAAATCATATTTTATAAAAGCCCAAGTATTTTTTTATTATAGGTGAAATACAACAGACATATAACATCCAAACAAGATGCTATCCACCAATTTTGGCTTTGGATATTTGGAAATCTACAGACTGAAATCGAAACGCGATTACTTCACGGCCTTTTCCTTCGGGGACGGTTGTACGTGACCCGAACGGAATTTCGAAATTCCCACCACCTATTGAATGTCTACAGAAACTATACAAACATGATGTTTCAGAAAGACCCTTGTAAATAAAAAAAGCAATGTCCACTTGTTTTATACAACTATATAGCATACAAATAGTTCGGGGTTTACGCAAATGTAATTTTATTTATCACTTTTCTACATTTATTGAGTTTTTATGCTAGAATTCTTGATGACAAATCCCTCATTGCACATCTAGGAACAATAGGATCGTAATAGGTTTAATTAGACTGATTAAAATGGATGCGCATAGCTTATTAAGCCGCTGAGCTCAGTTTATTGTTAGAAAAACCTAAGACAATTGACAAAGCAGTTGTTCCGACGCAGTGCGGTGCATTGAAGTTAGTTAGGACGCCAAAAATACCATTTGAAATATGTATACAGGTATATACAAGACAGTAACAACTGTGTCCGAAAACTGGTTTTAGAGGGTAGACACATTTTTGTGTCTGTTTGAACGCAAGTGTGATGTAAATGAACAGCAAAAAAACATTCTTCATAGTGTAGAAATAAGCAGATATTTAATGAACGAAATAACTTGGTTATAATAAAATTAAAATGGATGCATAAACTAACTAATCCTTACACTATTAATACATTGAAATTAAATACATAACTAAGAGAAGCAAAAAACATGTGTAACTTATGTACATACTTCATATGTATATAAATATTTTTAATTGATTTAATTTAAAGGACAGCTTCAGAAGGAACCTGGGAGAAAATTATCTTATTCAAATAAACTTACAAATGCATATTTATACAACATTAGCTATAAAGGTAGCTAAGCAAATATTTAAATCTGTGATGAAAATTTCCCGGAAAATCTCATATCCGGACATTCGCCGGGCAAATTAGTTCATCCTTTATTTATTTTTACAGTCTCTCCATGATCTGAATTTCCTTTTTAATAATTCATTGGGATGAGAAAATAAGTACTGTCTGCAGTGTACACGAATACTATAAGACTGTACATTTTAAAATTTGAGTTTTTTAACTGTTTACTCTTTAAAACTTGGAATTATCATTTTACACTTACGGTCAGAGATTTTCGGATGCTTTGCAGGAGTCGTGGTCACGGAAAAACGTTGGGCGGTTGTTAAAATATATAATTTGAGTTCTATTTCAAAGAGTGAATAAGGTTTTTATTTATTGTAGTAGACGTACGGAAGAGAAATTTCGTGCACGAATGGATATCAAACGCCCGACGACACAACTAGTTTGAAGATATTTAAAAAACGTTCTCCAATAACGAAAATAATAAAACGGGATTGCCTAGTTATACATATTAATTGGCTAAAACTATTATTCTTATCATTAAAATAGCCATATGTAATACACATGTATAAACAACACACTACATTGAGGACATATTAATTAACCCACACGACTCGCAAAGTACTACGGATTGTTTGATACACTTGTCGTTAATTTTTCGCTGTAAAACTATCATGAGTTTTGATGTAATGTTTTCCTTGATGGGTACATATGTATATTAGCAGTATAATCAATAAAAAATCTTTCGGAATTGATCTGTGGTTTTGAAAGATAAAAATGGTTCGTTTAACAGGGAAAGAGAATAAAACATCGCTTTTAATACTGTCTGTAGTTTACGCTAGTAGTACACATTTAAATGAAACACTTAAACGGTTTAAAACTGGATATATATTAGTTAAACTTATGTGAAAATTATTTTAACTACAGCCCGACATTTCGGCTGCTGAAAAACGTCGTGTTTTAAAGTGTTTTATTTAAACATCGCATTACTAATCATACTACATAAAACTGAATGAAATTTGTTTAAATTTAAATCATTTTAAAGCTATTGCATTGCTTTTTGTTAATACATGGGTAAAGTATTTTTCTTTCTATAGTATTTGATTTTAAAACAACTCGTCGCCAAACAAAGAATTGTATCGCACAAATCACAATCTTCCCAGCTGAATTGTTTGTTCAAGAAATTCTAGTCTTAAAAGGAATTTAGAATTTGCTCTTCAACCGAAATGCCTTATCGTAGTTACGTCCAACACGTAACAAACAGCTTGACAAAAGATAAGGAATGTATTCGAGACTTATGACGCAATTCTAGTACACAACAGTACCTATAAACTAGACCTATATTTTGAAAGCTTATTTTCCTCGATAGTTAGAGCTTCCAAAAACATGTTATTTGATTACACACTTTTAACAATTGCTAGAAATAAATATGTTATAGTAATATGATTTTTTAAATTTCGCGTTTCAAACCGTAAATGTTCTCCGTTTCTAATAAACACGCTATGTTCTATCCATATATGTTTACACATTAAAATATAATATTTATTATGCAAAAAAACTTTACTTTTCTTATTTCAAATTGTGATATAGAGTAAAATTTGTATACCAATAACATTAAGATTTTTAATTGCCAAATAAACACGACCCAGTTACTTCAATGTTATCATTTAATAACATCTCCCAGCTGCTACGAGTAAATGCGGTACCTCTGCTAAAACGCAACTACATACATAAGGAAAACATTTAATATTTTTTTACACGATAAATGCATTAACCAGCATATGGTTTTGTAATGCAGTTGGGTCGATGGCCACTTTAATTAGATTTAAGCGTAACACCAATTTAAAGCCGCAAACACACCAACGACTGAAATAAATTAATAAATAATATTATCTGCAGAAAACATTATATTAAAATCAATACAGCGACAAAACATACACAATAGTCACAAGGACTTTATAAAACCATTCAAAGTTACGGTACTATTTTTCGCGTTTTAGGCCGTTGATTGTGTATTTTATCTGTTCAGACATAAGAAAGTAGATACTTACTCATTTAGGTGACATAATGTTAAATTTAAAACGAGATTTTTAATTAATATTTAAATAAAACACTTTAACAGTTTAAGACGCGATATATTTTAGTTTCCCGACGTTAAGGCCCGACGTTGCGGTTGCTTTGCAGCAGCCGTGGTCACGGGGAGACTGTTAAAGTGTTTTATTTAAATGTGTACTACTCGCGTAAACTACACACAGTATTTGATTAATATTTCTTAGAATAGAATATAAATTTATTCAGAAACAATGCCAAAGAAGGAGAATCAGAAGTATACCTAAATACAGGTACAATTCAATAATATCCATATAGTATCCAGTCAACTGCGGTGGGCGTAATAACTTTGATCTTCTTCCATTCTTACCCCCAATTATTAGAAACTTATGACCGAATATTAAGAATATTCCTCCCATTTCAAAATGTCGCATGGTCCGTAAGCTCCCTTAGCCCATTTATTTTAACTAGTGCGGACACCTTCTGCGATTACAATCATAGGTCGTGAACTCGCTTCGTGACATCTACAGCTTTGTCACACAATTTATCAGGGCCCGTGTAACGACCACTTTGATAGTTTCTCCTTGTCATAAGGGTCTGAATATGTGGTTCAGTTTTCAGAAGACACTATAATGTGGAAATTTGAAAGTAATGAAATACTGGTTAGAATTGTATATTTATTTGTGTTGGTTGGAACATTTATTGAGGAAGGCTATGAAACATCAGGCTGAGGAGAAGAGTAGTCATCTTTCAAGGTTTCCGTTGCGTGGACGGCAAAAATGGTACAATTAATAGAATAATAATTAAAATAGTTATTCTTCAAATAATCTAAAAAATAAAATCTGCGACGATATATGTCTATCTATTAACATACATAGAACGACGCGTACGACATGTACAATTGTAAATCTTGTATTGTTCTTGATATAGCGAATTTCTGTCTATCATTGTGTAAACTGACTGATAAAGAGATCGTATCTTAAACTTAATACTTTAAGAAGTATATAATCACATTTAACGGGTCTAACTGTTTGTCTGTAGTTTACGCGAGTAGTACACATTTAAATAAAAATTATTTTTAACTACGGTCCGACGTTTCAGATGCTTTACAGCAGCCGTGGTCACGGGGATACACGGGGTGATGTTTTCAAATAAATTTAACTAAAATATATCGCGTTTTAAACCGTTAAAATGTTTTATTTAAAGGGTCTTAGTTTATAACGTAAAATTAGTCCTATTTTTAATTGATTTATTTTGAATCACATATTTCAGTGCCGGTATTAAGTATTTTCACGAGATTTGTAAATGGTTTCTATGGCAACGCGTCTTGGAAATAAGCCATACGGGCGGTATAATTATTCATATGATTACGATAATCACTTCTTGTTATAAAAATACAAACTTCTTCGTGTCTTTTTCTTTTTCTTCGTGTTTAATTTAATTGTTTTAATGTGTGCTATTTAGTGTATAAACGCCCTTAACGGTATCTTTTTCTCTATTTCCTTCGACACAAATTCTACCTGTATCGGCTGGCGAAAATCCAAAACACGTTTGTATACTTTCGCCTGCAGTCTATTTTTACGTATTTCATGCCACCGCAAGTACTAAAACCGATGACGTGCATCACTCGAAAATGCTGCCCAGATATCATTCACATTTCTTAAACTATTTATAAACATTTTACGATATAAACAATCTCAAGGCCGAGAGAAGAGGTTATATGTAAGACGTAGTATCTAAAATTATGCCTAATCTGCTTGTGGATAATATTTAGACTCTAGATATACCTACCTGGTTTTAGGCACCGTACATCAAAATATACAATCATGTATAAATCCTTTTTACTCCACCAGTTTTAATGATATTTTTACACCGCACTAACAACCTATTTTATTTTTAATTTCTACGGTCATTATTTTCAAGATTTTAAATAACCTTTTAAGTCGACTTTCTTTGATAATTGGTTCTCCAGCCCAAAAAAAAAATCATAAATTATAAATTGAAATGCAAAAACATGTGAAAAATATAAAAGTTTTCAAATAATAAAGTCATCCTAACCAATCTCAAAATTAGGGTGGCAAATTAATAATTAGATTAACTCAGAAGTATTTAGAATAGCTAATTAGAGAACTATCTCAGCGTCTGAATGCTAACTACCAATTCTATAATTAAACTAAGAATGTCTCTGAAATAGAGATGAAACATTTAGAAGCGGTTTCACACTATAGTGATCTATCCACATCATAAAGAGCAAGAAAAAATGTTTATACGGTCAAAGTAAAAGCAAAAATCATTCACTTAGGTAACTAGGATGCAAATATTCTATTATAACCTAAAGACTCTAAATTTACATTCACTCAAATCAAATTGTAGAACAAAAGAGAAGAACTGGCAAAAAAACTCGTAACTCGTAAAAACAGTGACTTAAAAAAAATATATATATATTGAAATTGAAACTGTCAGTCACACACAAATCTATCAAATAAGATAAGAAAGATATTTACTGCAATCGTTTCATTCAATCGAATCATCACATTTTTTATTTTTAAAATACATATTTAAAAAATCTTGCAAAAAATCTTTAATTACGCAACACATATTACAAATGTGCGCTAAAAGCATCGGTTTTTATAAACAAGCAACTGGTTTTGTAACCGGTCTAACGCGGACATCCGATCAACGCTATAGTCATCGAGTTCACTTCGATATATTGTTTAGGATTATAAGACGAGACAAAACTATGACATAGATGTATATGGAAAGAAAATATTTCTTTTTCTTTCGAGATCTACGAATTAATTCTCTTGTGATGTTTAATTAAAATCTTCATAATATTTTCCCGGAAATCACGATTTTTAATTTACATAATGCCATCATGTGCAAGCACATTTAAAAAATGTAATTTACGTCACAGCTTCATTTAACTAAGATTATTGTATTATAGAAAAAAAAAGGAAAACTAAGACTTCCTTTTCACATTTTAACAAATTACTTTATCGTGTTTAATCCGCAACGTAAGCCTAAACGGGGCAGGTACATTTTTTGGCCTTTTTTATTAGGAAGTACAATGCATAAACGACTTTTTCATTCTGATTCTAACCAGAAAATGAGGTCCAACTCCTTTTTTTACGTGCATGGATATACAGAAATCCTTTATATGGTTTATTTGAGGTTGAAATTACTTAAACATTGTACGCAAATATAGTACGCCCTACAATGTTTTCAAAATGAGCCATAATATTTACTGACCGCGTCTTGGCAAGCTCCCGTCAGCCTCCAGCAATCTAAACTATTGCTCATGTTGCGATCAGAAATAACCCTGTTATTCCATGTTTTATTATCGGTTCTTGGGAATTGGGTAATGAGTCAGTGTTTATTCATCGTAACCGCTAACATTGTGTCTATTTTCTACAACACTAATGATTCTATCATTGCGTTTGCCCATGGCCGACCGAAGACTGCTCGTTTGTCATACACGATCAGCCGAGGTACTCTCGCAATTGATAACAAAATTTTAACAGATCACATATGCGGCTGTTAGGGGCAAGTAGATAGGCGGTTATTTTCAATAAGAAACTTAGGCGGAAATGAATTCGTACTATTATTTTTTTAAGAATTATATTAAACAAATTTCAGTCACTGTGCTCTTGTAGATTAACGTTTTTAGACTATAAAAATACAAATACGTCAAATCATTAAATTGCAGTTAGGATACTCTGCCTTATATGTATATCTGTAAATAAAGGAATACTGTTATGTGCGAGAGTATTTATGTTTTCTTTATATTGTCACTGTCGAGCGTCAAGTGTCAAGTGTTGAGTTTTTCGTGGTGCGTTTAGAATATTGCAGATTTTTAACAATGGTAGACTGATAATAAGTTGTAAATGTTGTTTCTCTTCCAGAGCAACACACAACACAAGTCGTTTCACACACGATTATAACTACGAAGCATTATATATTGTTGGAAATCATCAGAAAAGCTCAACTACCCGCCACACTGAAGGCTATATAAACAAGCCTCAGGCAGCGGCTCGTACACTTCTTTCGTTGCTCGTTGTACGGAACGGACGTGCTGCCGTCATAGGCTTTTGTTGAATTTAAATTTATTTAGTTGTTGTGTTATTTTGTTTTTATTTTATAAATCTGCTAATGATTTCTAAAATCAGTTGTGGGATAAAGATTTTCACGCCCTCGGATAATTATAATTTTTGCTTTTTATATCGAGATAGTTTTGACCGTTATGGGTAGATCAAGTCTGTCCCGATCGAAAGGGAAACGTACACGCGTAGAACGCTCACGAAGTAGACATTCGCGAGGGGTTACAACGTGCGTGTCCTCAGTCTTTAGAGACTATCGCCAGTCGCCACCGAGTCAGGTGAAAACCGTGAAGCCTTACGAGAAGTCGGAAGACAAAGGACGGCCGAACGGTTGACGCAAAATGATGTTGAACAGCACAGGCGGGTTAACGAGAATCGGCTTCCACTACGAACGTACGAGGAAGGTGACCTTGTGTTTGTTATCAAATACTCGCAGTCGCAAGGGAAACTCGACCCAGGTATGCTGGGACCTTACCGGATCACCCAGAGGTCAGCAAATAACCGTTACAAACTGCAAGTCCTTGCTGGATCATACGGCAAGACGACATGTGCTGCAGCGCAGTTCCTGGTGCCTTGGAAAGGTGAATTGATCCCGGATATGTGTTCGACATTCTTTGTGCACTCTTTGTGTGAGTTATGATTTTATTCTTAACACTTTACTGAAACTGAAAGTACCTATGATGTGTAATGATATGTTTAATGATAAATTCATGTGAGGCGTTTGTCTGCGAGGTCCTTGGGCCCGGGGTAACCATGTCTTGGAGGTATATCGGAATGGTTATTCTAGGAGGGACCTCGAGAATAAAGTAACCATCCTGGAGGTAGATCGGACTGGTTACTTTAGTGAGACTCTCGGCCTAACTTGTTGGAATTTTAGATTCAGAATAACTTTGTCCTGGAGGTAGATCGGACTGGTTGTTTATGTTAATTGTTATTGTCGATCTGATTGCACGTTTCATTTTAATTGGAGGATCAGGATAACCTCGTCCTGGAGGTATATCGGAGAGGTTATCCTGGGCGGACGTTAACAAGGGATAATCGTTCTTGGAGGTATATCGGATACGATTATCCCAGAGGTTAAATGTATTGGCTGGAATAACTAATTCTTTTGAAATGTTAGCTAACGGTACTTTTCTTTTTTTGTAATTTTTACAATATTCAAGAATGTCAGTATGTGTAATTTTCCCTTGGATGTTTCTTTGTTTTTCCTGTGGTGCAGATGCAGACAATGAAATGGAGGCTACTTCGGGTATCGACCTGCTTGTTGATGTTCTACAAACTATGGAGGCGTTCGAACCACAACCGGGTCCTTCTGGGACACAGAGACACTCTGATTGCATAACTTCCACTTCCAATGAAGAAAATTCACTGCCAATTCTTGACACGGATCAGGAAAGTTAAATTAATGGAGTCCGAGGACGGACTCCTGTCAGGAGAGGCCGTGTTGGAAATTATCAGAAAAGCTCAACTACCCGCACACTGAAGGCTTAAACAAGCCTCAGGCAGCGGCCTACACTTCTTTCTGCTCGTTGTACGGAACGGACGTGCTGCCCGGTCGATAGGCTTTTGTTGAATTTAAATTTATTTAGTTGTTGTGTTATTTTGTTAGTAAATCTGCTAATTTTCTAAAAATATCTATAATATTTTCTGTACATATTATTTTCATACATATCTTTGAACCATACTTTGGTACAAAATATGGTTCAAAACTTCATATCTTTCAAAAGTTATTTCACATGATGTCATTATATAAATGAAAAAAATATTTTATTTTGTAAAGAATTTACAATTTTAAATTGTAAATAAAGAAAGAAACGAAAATATATTCTTGTGTTAAGTGCGTATAAATAAAGTTTTCCTTAAAATAATTATTTATAATTGTTCTTTTTTTGGTTTTATCACCAAAATATCCTCTTAAATGTATCTACATATATGTATTTTATAGAATCATTTTGTTAACTGTACGTTAATTTCCATGATATCGTAAAGGTCTAATATGAATGACCTATCGCGTTGTGGAAAATCAATAAGAAGTATTCACAGCAAATAATATGATAAAACTAATATCGACGTTTGTCTATAACGTTGACACAAGCGTTCCAAGAAACGTGCTGTGAACCGTTTTGATAAGGTTTAACTAGACCGCTTGTGAAGAAAGCATAGTGAATGAATTATGGACATAGAAAGAAAGAGAAAAAGTCAAAGTTAGTTAAAAGAGTTTTATCAGAATAACACAAAAAAATAAGTAAATAACTTTTAACGGTTCTAAACGTAAACTATTATATATCATTCGTTTTTCACGACGACACCATGTTGCTACGGTGGACATGTTAGTAAACAATTAATATACCAGTAGTTTATTTAATTTGTAAATCATTAAAAAAGATAAAAAAATATTTAGGCTAGGGTGTTATGGTTGCGTCTTGTCTTACTTTAGGACACTTCGCAGTCTACTTATTTTGACACACTGCCCTACTATTATCACACATATAACTCTGTTTTAATGAATGGAAAGGGAATCAAACTTTGGACCTAGAGAGCTTAGTTAAGTCAAAACATGTTCGCTCACTCACAGAGTGACAGACTGTGTGATTTTATATATTAACAATACAAACCGTGAAGTGTATATTAATATAGACAAAACAATTCAAAAGTCATTCATAGGTAGCTGGGTTTGCTGACTGACTGACGAGAAATTTTTCATTTTAAAAGCTTAATATTGTGCCAAATCTATCAATACACTTAATAATTGTAATTCATAGTACGTATACATGAAGCTTGTTGTAAATTTGTATTAAGACAAGCCGGCTCAGTCTTACTCCATTCATTTGGATATGAAAACAAACATGCTCAAGAGATAACAGCTGATAGCGGTGTCTACAAAACAAATTAAAACTCTTTAAAATGTCTGAGATATATTTCATGCTATCCATGTTATATGTTAGCCAAAGAGACTTGTGGCTATTAAACAAACATACTATGTAGTAATAGTATGTTTTATTGTGCATTTCAAATATTTTGAAAACGCTAATATTTTCCTTCAATAGATTATTTAATATTTTTAAATTATAAAAAAAAAATGTATTTAAATTGACAATTAAAGCGGGGTCTGCCGACGTTACGTGGTGTTGCTAGTCTCCGAGTTTAGTCAAGTCCTGCCCTGGTAGTAATTTTTTAAATCTAAATATATTACTAATTTAATAATACAGTTACAAGGCTTTGAAAGGTTAGTACATAAACTATCCTAAATGGGTCGTTGTTAGAGCGGAATTTAAACACCCAAATCATATTTTCATCTGTTATAAGATTATTATTTAGTCTGATGATATCAGTCACGTTAATTATAGACAATACTTTTGTCTACAATTTAAGTGTGCAGGATACTAAAATTCTAAATCAACAGTGAGAGATAGTTTAGATATTAAATTCTATATTGTAATAAATTGAATTGTGCAGTATTTTACTCGACTACAACGAAGGTAGATAGAGTTATGTTTCTGACAGTGTGTACAATAGCAAAATTTAATGGCGTATGTTTTCTAGAGTTCTTGATTATTTGAGACCTCTTGTTATGTAGTCGGGTCTTTTAGATTTCATATAAGCTATTAGTACTTATAATAAAAGGTACAAAAATATTATGCACAATAGGCTATAGTTGAGTACAAACAATTCAATTGTCCGCAACGTAAGAAGCTTGGTCAAGGTTATAGCTCGTTATCTCACGATCAATTTATTCACTACTAGATTTCGCCTGTGACTTCGTCTAGCGAAGAAACTTGACAATAAATATTGAAAATGTATTAGTTAAACTTAGTTACACGTTATTTTAACTACAGCCCTACGTTTTGGATAACGGATTCGTGGTCACAGAGGGATCGATGGTCTCCCCTATGTCAAAGACAAAATCTGCTACGCTAGAAATAAATAAATACGTCAATAATGAATTGTAAATAAGTTTTACTGATACGTTTCGCGTTTTAAACCGTTAAAAATGTTTAATTTACCATCAAACGGCTTACGGCGTCAACATTCGGCGTGGTTTCTTTTTTAATCGCAGTACCGCTATTTACAGCCAGTACTTGAATTTAAAAGATATATGGACGTACAATTCCCATTGCTTTATATACTTATATAATTAATACGTGAACTAGAAAAACCGCCAGCTGACAAGATAAATCAACACAGATCATGACATATATTGGACCTATTTAGATCTTTATAGATCTTAATTAACGTGTTGTTTAGAGATAGTAGTTGATAACATCAAAGTTGTGTAACTTACAGAGTTAGCGATAAATTATTTCTTTAATTAAATGTCTCTGATTAATTAAGAGATGGAGAAAAATAATTATTCTTAATATCATGAGCTAAAATCTACATGGCTTACAATGGTTAACTTTGCTCAGCTTTTAGCGGGTGAGGTTCCAAACTCGGTTTTAATCAGTCAGGATAATTAGGTACTCTTTCTATTGCTTAAGTGGTCAAACGGAGAAGCGGACACGGAAATGTGTTTGTCACACTTCTTCGTAGGGAACGAATTTAGCTTGTGACTTGAAAACAAGATTAATTGGAAGGAAATGTGATAAAAGTATGGTATTTTTGACTAATTAAATATTATAACAAAGTTTGTGTTAGAGATTTGAGGTCGTTACTGAAAACAATAGTCTATGTTTAAAATTTTCAAAACCCAAAACATAGTAAACTTATTTACAATTTATTTTAACTTCGGCCACACGCGGACATTTCGGATGGTTTCCATTCCGCGGTTTCGAGGAATGAGGGGGTAATTGTTTAGGGACAATGGGGTAACTAAGTCAACATATATATTTCGTGTTTTGAGCCGTTAAAACTGTTTTATTTAAATGTTTATCAAATTGGAAAACTGCATACAGTGCTTAACACTTAGCTCAGTTTATTTTTTAATAACAATTGTTAGGTACAATTTCATATTTAAAGCATAAAATATATAAATTTAGTTAAGCGACGAAACAAACATATACTAAATAATATCTATCAATAAGCTGACTTCCTACCTAACATAATATTAATATGTCTTACTGGTATTGCGAAATACAAATACAAACAAACCGAACTTAAAAACTTATTATTTTTCTTAGCTATCATTTATATGTATACAAATACATATACGTAATTTGAACGGCTTTTTATACGCACACATCTCATATATACTAATATGTAGTATATGTACTGTACTGCGTCATAACAGCTGTTCCAAATTATATCAAACATAAACAATAACTCACCGTGTCTTCCAAATTCTTGAACTCATTAAAGAGGCGGTTGTTAGTGAGCTTCTGGTTCAGAGACATCACGTTTGCCGACATCCCTATCATATTGGCCGTGAGCTGGTCGACCTCATGCCGAAGGTTCGCGATTTGCACCTCACGAACCACAGTTATCACGAGCAGCCAAACAGCCAACGCCGCCACAGATACACCGAAGACCACACAACCCCTCCCTTTTACCCCCTTTTCCATGCCCTCCTTGTACTGTCTCTCGAAATCACCGCTCATCAGGTTCTTGGACGATTCCTTGATGTCGCTCAGCTCCTCCGTTTGGGTGTACATATTGATTAGTTAATCACTTTTCTTACAATTTATTTTCGGTACATAATTCGATAACACGTGCTCAATACGATTCACGGGAAAATACGACGCGAGTACGCGGTGTGGCGGACCGGTACGAAGTGGCTTGAGGTGTGCGTCGACCGGCGCTTGCGCACGATCCTCTGCAACTTTTGATCTCGTTAATGCATTTGATTTGTTTTATCAATTTTAAAGTATCTTTTGATACATACACAGTTTGCATGGTAGGACGTGTTCATTTTTTTATCGATGTGAAATAATATCATGGTCACGTATTAACGCATATATTTAAATTCATATCTTGGTAGATAAAAGTTCTAACAACCCACATTTGTATATGAAAAAAAAAACCGTTTCACTTCACTTAGTCATCGACTTTATTTTCAATCGAGTAGTTGATCATTCATATTTTTGTGTCTGGCCTAAAGCCTAAAAGTTACGCTTATAAATTATACAAATTATTAAAACTAATTGTTTCAAATCCATCCTTCAACAGCAATTTCTATCACGTACCTTACACGTGCTCATGCGCCTTATTTAAGTATTATGTCTTTTATTTAATTTTAGGATGCAACGATCGAGCCAAAAGTCACCTCAAAAACACATATAAAAAAATTCTAAAAAACATGTAATTAACTTTGAGTTAGTAAGAGTGGCTCAGTGATTATAAAAGCGTTAAGTGCTGGGTTCGAGAAACAATAAATTATTTTAATCGAGCAGGACATCTTCTGGTAATTTTCTTTCCGTTAATAAAACTACCTCTACCAAAACGAGATGTAAATATATGATATTTGATCAAGCTACTTTAGTTAAAAGAAAATTAAATATTCAGTATATCTATGCCATTAGTAACCTGTTAAATACATAGTTTTAGTCAATAGTAAAGATTTTGTAGTATAAATTAGCTTTTTTGTTACAAAACTCGATCCGTCTACCTGCTATTGTTTACGATTTGGGTACGGATTGACATAGCTATATTAAAATTCATTCAAGATACCTACATACATTTTTCTACTAAATTTTGGTGTAACTTACATTTTAATATTGAGAGCAAATATTCTACTTACACTCAGAAAGTAGCTACTCTATCCGTACCTACTGTATCCTACTCATTTTATCAATAAGTATGATTCTTCGGTTAGACGCACTAGATAGGCATCGGTCCCATGACCGACGACGAAGGAACTTACTCTAATTCTCTTTAAGCGTGCAACATATCTGGTATTGCGCAATAAGAGATACACATACTAGAATTAGATCGCTAACAATTCACATTGCTGTTAAGAAAGTTCAGAACTTAACTATTATGTCTTTAAACTGGGTCTCCGATAACAGAAAAGTTCATAACGCTTAAAATACTAAATACTTATTAAGTATTGAAATAAAACAGTTTGAACTGTTTAAGACGCAAAATGATTTAGTTAACTTATTTATAATAAGTGTAAATAAGTGTGCTACTTGCGTAAACTACAGACAATACTTATTTATTCAGATTTAGACAAAAAGATTCACGAACCAAAAGGAAAATAGTATAGAGCGTAAGATTGTGTCATCTGTAGTTAATAAAACTAATTAACAACAAATAAACAAAATAGCCTGTCATAGCAGTACTAGTATGTTGCGGCCGGCACATTTGCGGTAAAGTTTCAGTAGGAGTAAAGTTCGGTATTTTTTATATAATTAGTGCCTTACGGTTTATTAAGAGCAATAGTATGCGTTTTTAATTTTGCTAGAAAAATTGAAGAAATGTAATTAGTGAATATTGTATAATTTTCTGTTTTCGGTATAGGCATAAAAAATATCGCACCATACTCCAACTACAACACACTGCGAACTAAAATTTTCCACATGTCGAAAATTATATACTAGCGTAATTTTTTTTTGCTACCCAGAGGTACAGTTATTTATTCTATTGCCCTGTTAGAAGCCTACTAGAATGTTACTGTCAAGTTTGAAAATTAAAACATTCAAAAATCTTTTATTCATTCTCCAAGAAATCATGATTTTCACTAGCTTATGTTTGTTGTTTGCAAAACACAAAACTTACACGGTAAGAGACTTCATCGTGTTAAAATACTCCTTATAAATGAATACTACTTTTTACAAATAACATATTATATCGACCGGACATTTTAGTCTTATCAATATTATTTTGTTAAAACATAGATTAAACCAAATTCATTCACACCATTTATTATCTACTTCCCGTCATTGGCAAAACCAATTTTATTTACTACAATAATTACATATCTGTTCGCCGTCTTTTGGAAAGCTTTTGAAAAAAAACTGACATCTTTTGTAAGAAATTATATTATTTTTAATCATTATATTAGTTTGCTTTAAGCAAAATTTTTAAAATTCTTCTCACCTATAACCTGGTGGTAACCTTTTTTCAAATCAAAACGAAACAGAATAATGATACAAATATTGTTTTACACGAAATTACGTCTCATAAATTAAATTTTTTAAATCGCTTGGCTGGCATTTGACACTACTACAAATACTGGCTTTGGACCTTCAACAAGCCACAAATGGCGGGCGTCATATTTTGACAGTTGACTCCTGACACTATTATTTTAACGCCTTGAACTAATAACATGACCTTGTATTCAATTGGCACACACAATAATTTAACTTCCTTTTTATATGAAAAGTAGGGAATTATCATATTTAGTCAATGTGTAAGACAAACACAATTCTGTCTCTATTTCACTGGTCGCTATAGCGTAAGTAAGGTTTTTGAAGCAGAGCTAAAGAAAAACCTTTTGCGAGTATCTCAGTTCTATAATTGAGCCATGGCGTAAAATACTTAGTATTTTGTGTTTTACACTATTTTTTTATAGAGTAGAGTTAGTAAGTAAGTAAGTTTGAGATAATACGATAAAAGTAAATAATCTTTGACGAAACTCAGCAGCAATTAATTACAAGACAAAGAAACTAAACCATAAATTCCTTATCAAATTCGTGAATTCAAGTAATGCAGGCAATTTGTACAATAAAGAACTAAGTTTATAAAGACCTATAAATTCGTCGAAAGTTATTAATGAATGGAAGCTCCGGAACTACCGAATTGTGTTCTTCGTTGTTGGAATAATAACAAAACTTTTTGGTCTTCATTACGAGAAGGAATTCTTGCTACCCGCGTCAATTCCTAAAATACTTTTGTGACACACTATTATATTATTAAGAATGTTTCTCGAAAATGTTTCTTTTCACTAATCCATTTAGTTTACCGATAAGATTTTAATTAGACTTCCGTTCTTTGCCCGACCACAAACTATTTTTGATATTTATTTTCACGGATTCGAACACTGCTAAGTGTGTAGTAGTAGTGCATTTAACCATAGGGGTGGATTGAGTATATGTATGATGCATTAAAAAAATACAGGTATTTAAATAAATTTAAGGTTTAAAAGCGATATATTAGTTAAACTTATTCGAAAATGTTTTTTAACTTCGGCCCGACGATTCTCCTGACCACCGCTGTGCAAATATCGGGAACATCAGGCCGAAGTTAAAAATAATATATCGCGTTTTAAACCGTTAAAGTGTCTTATTTAAATGTGTACTACTCGCGTAATAGAAGTATTTAAATACAGGTATCTATTATCCCTATACATTTATACTTACAGATACTCGCGAAACCTCAAACTCAAGGGTAAGACTTTAAGGTTTAAATATAAGAAAATATTAAATTACACACTTTTCACGTTATTTAAGGTGAAGTATATTCTTCTTTCATCTAAAATTTGACATTTTGAGTACTTTTCTATTACTCATTTAAATAAACACTTTTAACGGTTTAAAACGCGAAATATAATACTCGTAGCCACGGGGAGACTCCTCATGAGCACGGCTGCTGTTAAGCATCCGAAACGTCGGGCTGTAGTTATAAATGATTTGTAAGTATATATAGCTATAACATTCAGCTTTTTGAACCGTGTTCGACATCATAAAAGATGTCAAAGGAGTTTATGTATATGAAAGCAAATAGATATAGAAATGGTAAAATGTAGAAAAAGCCTACGTATATTTTGGATTCGAGCTATAACAATAACAAAATATGTATTTGCATTCAAAGTTAGTAATATTATTACTCTATTTTAATATTTTCCAACATTTCATAGTTTTCGCTGACAAGGCTGTTTAATAATACATCAACGTATTTTTACAATTTAATTTTGTGCATCGCACCACTTTTCGTTTATTATCTAACAATATGTATGTCCACGAAAGGTAAACACTTGCTATGTGCTCAATATAACTTTAAGTACGAATTCATGTCAACAATAAGTGTGTTATTAAAGTAGACTAGAAAATTTATTTCGCAATAAATTCTCTTTTAAGCTGAATAAGATTTTTGATTTGCCCGAGATTCTGGTGCCTCGCTGTCTAGCATAAGATGGTGTATAGAGAAATATAAATAATGTGGAAATTAGCAAAGCATTTTCGTCACGTAGTTATTGTTTATGTTCGTCATGTTGTCATCACAGTGATGGCCTCCTTATTGTAATGGTAGCAATGTACCTACTAACAATTAACAGGTTCGTTTCGAGAATTCGATCTCCACGGGTCCCAGGAGATTCCTAATTAATTTATAATTTTTCTGAAACATGTTGCACTTTGTCTGGAAATCTGGATATTATAAGGCAGTTAGGAATATTGTAATCTTGTCTGGATCACGAACCACCGTCGATGAGAAAGCCGTAAAGTTGTTGTACACACGAATATATATATACCTACAGACTTAAATTGCCTTAACTTTTACATGATGACATTATGTAAATAAAAAAAGTTATTTTTTTGAGCAACAGCACGGTGCGCTGTGGCTGCCTGTTCAAGTCCCATCCGTGTCGTCAATTTTTTTTTAAACTAAATCGAGTAAAAACATTTTAAAGCGTTCGGTAAAGTTTATATGTGGTATACGACGATAGGTTCTCAGACATCTGTGCCCTGCCGAAAAGGAAACTATCATCGAATCG